TCAACTAATGATCCTCTTGAAAGAGAAAGAAGAATGCATTATTTAGATCCTTTGTAAATTTTGTTTTAAAGATACAGTGACCAAATTTCAAATTTTAAAATCTTTCTTTCATTTTTGAGAGAGCTCAGAGTGAGATCCAAGAAATCTGATTAGACAGATCTGAAGGCAGTGGTCACAAGTAGCTCCACTCAAAATGGGCATGGGGGTTTACTGAGATGAAGTGAATGTTTTTGCAGTTTAAAAAAACCCCAGCCAAACTTTAATTTGGAACCCCCTGCCAACACACTAGGGAAGCCCAATAATTCCTAAGTCCCTCTCCAGACACCTGAGCTCGCGAGGGAAGAGTGTCTGGTCCACAGAGGGACTTAGTTGAGTTAGGCATTTGCTGAAGTGTTATCCGCAACTCACAAGACTGGATGTGTGCTGCACATGAGGTGGGTTTTTATTCATTGCATGATACTTTTTATCTTTTCACATTGATTGATTTCACAATATCAGAGATAGTAAACAGGATGCTAGACACAAATTACAAAATTGTTGTGACCAACTTAGTCACTTATGTACTTAGAAATACACATCATACTTGTCTGCACATGGAGGCGTGAATCTGCACTTACCAATCCATACACATTATTAGAGCACTTTCAGAGCTCCTCTTGCATCTCCACGTCTTCCAGTCATAACAAAAGGTTCACAATCACTGTAAACATTATACACTATCCCCAAGTGGAACTGGGAAAATGATGACTATTGCAGTTTTCTATCAAAAGATCTAGTACTGCACACCTGTGCCATAACACCCACACTACATATGTGCAACAGGCTGGGCAAATTGTTGGCTATCATGTACATACAGGTCTGCTCAGTTCCCTGCTCATCTGAAGAAGTAAATCACATGTGATACATCATGTAGATTTTTTCACTTTGACAAAAATTTTCTAAAAATTGACTACATATACTTCCATAGCTACTCATGTAATACTCTGAAAGTCATTCAACAGTAACAGAAAGGGTGTTATATGAGGTTTGTTATGATCCTTATACTGGGTTATGGTTATACTGAGTACAGTGTAGTTAGATCTAACCAGCGCGCCCATCAGCTGTTGTTCTCTATGCTACAATCTTAGTTATGATATCAGAACACCTCTGGCCTCTGATACCCATCCAAGCTCATAACAAGGTTTATTTGATGAAATTACACCAAAACTATGAGTCAGTGTATGTAGTCAATTTTTGTAATGCTTTTGTCAAACTGCAAAAAATTACAGACAGTATTACATATGATCCACTCATTCAGATGATCCAACAGCTGAGCAGCTCTGTATGTACACAATAGCTCCCAATTTTTCCATCCTTCTGCACATATGTAGTGTGGGTCCCTTGGCTCAGGTGTGCAGTGATATATCTTTCATGACAAACTACAATATTAATTGTTTTCCCATTTCCACTTGGGGATAGTGTATAATGTTCACAGTGCAATACCTCAAAAATATTTTGATACCTGCTAATGAATGGGAGCAGCGCCCAAACCAACCCAACACAAAAGTTGGTATTGTATTGGTATTGTATTGCCAATCCAACATCAAAAGTTGGATTTCTCCATATTGCTTCACCCAACCCAACATGAGAATTCCCCTTTTCTCATATTGGGTATTGGTGACGCAATACAGGATGGAGGCAATTTTCCTTTTCTTATCTGAAAAGCCTTGCAACCAATCTTTAAGTACGGTATTGGCTTGTATTGCTTCAGCAACACAATTTGGTCAACCAGATTTTCTTTGTCCTTGTATTGTATTGGTCATTGGTCTTATGGGTTGGCTGATACGACATGGAGAACCTCCAAAAAGTTGTATAGTGTTGGATTGGTTTGGGTGTTGATGGGATGCATCTAAAGCTTTCAATGATATATTATCAGTGAGGGAAGTTATTGCTCATTATCACATTTGAACTTGTATTTGATCCAATTTCATTTTTACTTTCATAGATTTTCTCCACAGGGACCAAGTGAATGGAGTGAGACTTTTCCTCAGGAGCTATGGTCCTTGTAGGATATAATTGAATCAAGACCCTGCTCAACAATGGCTGCAACAAAACCAAATCAAACCCACTGAAGGAAATGATTGGTGTTGTTAGACCAGCTCCACCTATACATTGACAAGGCTCTTGAGTGCAAAGCCTTGGTATTGGCAGCAATCATGTATCCTTTTTATTGTCTTGCTTTCTTTCAGAAAGCTTATCTGGAACACAGAGAATGTGCAAACACCATGTTTAACAAAGCATTCGCTTCAGCATTGTAGGATGCACAACAAAACACTGAAGAACCCCCAGCAGCTGATATCAATGCTCAGCCTGGTGAAGCCAACAATGATGACAGCTTCAATGACTTTACAGCCAGCTCCAACATCAATCAATTTTGTATGGAACAGGAAGCCAAACTTGACTACTACCTGATGGGCTGGTGCAAGTTTGACAAAGGTAAGAAAGAACACTTGATTGGTGGAACACAAGTACAACATTACCATATTGCTTGAGATCAAACTTTAACTCAAGTCTATATAATATCACCGGCAGGTTCAGTAGTATTTCCAGTGCTTGCCACATTGACATCAGATTACCTTGCTGTTTCAGGTACCTCTTGTGCGGCAGAGAGGGTCTTCTCAAGTGAGACTGATATCTGCTTGCGCAATTTTGGAGGGCACATTCCACCCACAATTAACAAGTTGTTTTGTTCATGCAAGTGGATCACATATGATGTGGACCCAGGAGGTGAATATGACAATGTTATTAAGTCTATCAGAACATACTTAGATGGTGAGGCTAAAATAAGAAGAAGAAAGAACTTATGATTGTAGATCAAAAGGACTGATTACAAATGTAGAATAGCTTGCAAGCCTTTGAAAAAATTGTTGTTTGCATTAACTTCTATCCTTTTGAATGTTGAGTGAAAACCCCCCGTGAAGTGCCCAGTGGTGCACTGCGACGTCTCAAGCGCGCCGCGGTCGCATGGAGATTTTTTATCCCTGCGACAGCGCGGCTGTGAGTGTCAGCCCTGAGTACATATACATGTACCCAAAACTAACTTGTAACATTAAAAATATTATGTATAAATTAAATTACATGTACATACTGAGTTTAGACCATATGTAACATGTAATACAATGTACCAAAACACTCATTACATACACATGTACACTTAAAACAACATGTAATATGTAACAAAACACCATTTACACCTCATAACTCAGTGTCAAGAGTTAAAATGCTTATATTACATAGTATACATAACATGTATATGTAATTAAGCATTACTAGTAATAATCATTAACATATATTAATGATCAACCCTGAACCAATGTAGTGATAATCACAAATATCACCACAGTTAGGTTTAGAGAGGAAGGTATATAAACCCCTCCTCTCTCAGCCTTCAGAGAATTTCCCCCAAGCTTTTTACTACACTATACTTTTAAAGATCCCCTTTAAAGTTATATAGAAGTATATAATCAAGAGTCTTATAAATATAAGACTAGTGATTCACTTCTTTACTTTAAAGAGTTTCCTGACTAGAAGTTAGTAGTACTCCTTCCTTCTGGATCCTCTACTTCCCCTAAGTAGATCTATCAAAGTTGGTGACTTTAAGAACAACCCCAGGCTAGTGACCTTAAGAAGAACTCAGGTTGGTGACCGTAAGAATAACCCCAAGTTGGTGACTTTAAGAACAACCAGAGTAGTGACCTTGACATCACTCTTCACCTTGCCACATTAGAAGGTTGAAGGGAAGCCTTGGATCCAGCTTCCACCCAAGTATTATATTAAATAATAATACATCAAATCTCCTTTTAAGGAGTCATCTAGCTGTAGTCTGCCAGGATTTATCCCAGCAGACTGCTAGTGTTTATATTTCTTGTTACTGTCTCTCTTTAATCCTCAGTGTAGCTACTACATATTTGACTAAAGAAGAGAAAATAACTAACCTCACCTTACTCCAACATCCAACTAGTGAGCATAGAGTCCTCTTTGAGAGCACCTACCCTCACAGTGAGAGTGACTTCACATTGTGGTTGATTGCGCTGCTGACTCTGTGGACCCAAAATCTGGTGCGCTGCGGCGGGGTTTGGGTGTCGATAAAATCAGGAGGAGCACGAGTGATCTCTTCAGGTTAGGTAAATTGGTTTATGGATTAATTATTTTTTCATTGATTTGTTCATTTTGTATTTCCCTCTTATATTTATTTTGTTCTAACAATCATGTTGTTTACAGATTTAAGAGAACGTTTCAAAACCCATTTTCTTACACTCTCACCGAGATAAGAATCAGTGTAGATGTTTATAAAGATACATGTGTTTTTCTCAATATTGTTCATAATATGCTTGTTTCTCCTAAGTCCTATATTCTTATATCAACTAACATTCTATAGAAAGTCGTGTTTTGGAAAAAACTACTTCGATATCTTGCTGCAATCAAGGTTGACTATAACTTCACTACAGAAAAAGCAAAGAGAGATGTCAAGACTGATATAATAAGCAGCAAATACCCACGAAAGAGAACTAATTATGGATCAATGGCTTCTCAAGGAGCTGCTGATTGCTTTTGACCGCTGCTGGTCGGCTTGTTGCACGAAACAGGAAAAACATTCATGGTACTTTACCCTAAAAGGTTTCCCCGGTTTATGAAGAAAAGACCGTAAAAACCTTGACCTGAGCCCCCTTATTTACAACATCTTTTGCAACAACGGACAAGTTGTTGTACAGCAAAGAACCGTCAAGGTCGAATCTTAAAACCCCCTATTTTACCTGAACTTTGATGACTAGGAACGGACATCCCGATTCTCTCCAGGAGGAAGAGCTCCAGGAGGAAGTTTGACTTCACGACAGATAAAAACAAGCTATGCTTGATTGTTCTCAGCCTTTCATAACCTGAAATCCGTAAATTCTCAATCACAAAAAGTTAAATTAGCTCGAAGTGCGACTCACACGACAAGATATACTTGAGAAGAAGTTATGGATTGCTCACTCGATGGAAAATTTTACCCCGTGAAATATCTTTACTTGGCTTATAAAAAGATCCTGACCACTATCTTTCATTTCTATCGACAATTTGGGACTTTATTCATTCTTGACGTTGCCGATTGGTTCATTGCCTTCCTTAATATCATTTCACCCAATCAACCGGTCGATCAAAATGTTCCCAAACCGTTTTCTCCTGAAAGTCCTCCCCCATTTTTCGAGCATCCTTTCATCTATCTGATTTGCTTATTGGCATGGATAATCGGCCCTGATCTATCTCCCGACTGGTTAAATCAGTGGTCTGTTTGGAAGGGCCTCGGTCCGGATGGTAGATGGGCAGAGGTGAACCTCTACGAAGCCAAGGAGGGCTCAAGAAGTCCTTGTCCGGCTCTCAATGCCCTGGCTAATCACGGTTAGTTTGATCACTTATATATATCTCTTTTTATTATGTCTATCAAGGGACTGATATCAAAATGTCCAAAAAACACATTTCTGACCGGACAAATGTTACCCAGGGATCATCAATCCTTCAGGCTGCGAATTAACATTCCATCAAATTACTTCTGCTGCCGCAAGAGCCTACAACTGCTCGCCCGCCTTTGCCATAAGGTCATTGTTGGGAGCTTATCCCATCGTGGAAGGTCGTCAAACTATCAAGCTATCCGATCTATCGGCTCATGGTATCATCGCACATGATGCCAGCTTATTGCGTTGAGTCTTTCATGCTTCGTCCGGGCTTATATTTTATTGATAGGCTCTTCGCACCGAATCAACACAGGTCCCGATATCTATTCACCGGCCTATGCACGCTACAAGGACGTGCAATCCCACCCTTGGCCTGATCTCATCAATCGTTTCTTTCCTGCTGGAGATTGTCCTGTGACACCCCGAGAGTGTTCTGAGGCTTTATCGATACGCCGAGCCGAATGCCAAGCCGAAAATCCCCGTTTTCATCGCACACTTCAAACTGATATCATTGGATGTATGAATTGTTCCGTGTTGCTTACCGTCACAGGTGGAGATCGTAAAGTGATCCGTAATTTAACTGGAATCGCCGGCTATGAACAATTTGATCGTGATTGGAAACCGGCTGGTCGTCAAGCCTATGGTATCAGCGGGGCTCGTTTGCAATTCTTGGGAGCTTGGATTGGATTTGGGACTGACTCGTATTTTTTGGCGAAACGTCGGGACATTTGATCATGATTTGCGATATGCGTACTTTCTTACCCAAATACCATAGAGGATACGAAGAGCTACATCAACTTAATCAATTGTTAATAATCAAATATGACGGTGGAAAGAATTACTCAGTGTTGAAGATAGATTTTTGCTTCCAATCCATGGCGGAGCTGCCCAATCAATGATGATGTCTTTCTATAAAATGAGATACATCACTCCGACGAGCCAGTGTTTCTACTTGGCACTGTGTAAAAACAAACCCAAAAACTATTTCATCAAGTGTCAGATTATTTAGCTGGTAGAGTGTCTTCCAGGCTTCTAAAATAGAATTGGAGCAAGCTTCAGAGTCAATGGCTTGATCTAGTGACACACACTTGGTAGGTCCGTCATCATTTCTCAAGTCAACACGAAAAGTGGCAAAACAATTTTTTGGAACATCATCCTCCTTGGCTGGGGCTTGATCCCTGCTATAAAATAGTGACAAGGCTACGTGTTTGAGGTATAGATGTCTCACTCAGGCTGACAACACCTCATGCAATAGCGGGATTCAAGTAGGAAAAATGCCTGAAATACCACTGTCCCTGTATCAAAATACTACCTATAAATTGTGAATTTTGAGCACACTGTCAGAAAGCCCCACCTGGGAAGCATCCGCCTAGCAAGTTATTTTTTGCAAAAATGAATTTTGAAGGGCTGGGAGGCCAAAGTGCATGAATTCTTAGGCACTTTCTGACCGACTTGAACCCCGCTAATTTGAAGGCCATTGTTTTTGTATGCCATGTGATTCGCCTGTTACCTTCCAAAAAGGCTACAAGACATACACAAACCAATCATCAATGGCTCAATGCACTCAACCCCTGCTTGGTGGTTCTGACATCTTGTCATCAGTCAACCTTAAGAAAGACTTTGCCAAGACATACTTGTCCAGAACATCATTGTTCTACTTTGGCCTCTAACGCGTTGGCATAGCCATGCTCAATCTTTGAGGTTGGCACTGTATATTGGTACCATCCATCTTGCGATAAAACTCACATTTGAACAGCTTTCCAAACCATGCATCACCTTTTAGCACATTGATTATCAATCTCATAGCATTGATTCTCTGGGAGAAGTGTCCATCATATGAAGAAATCTAGCACGCGTATTTGCCCTCCAAAAACTTATAAACCTCTGAAGCTCTGCCCAGTCAATTCAACCAGAGAAAAGTCAACTGTCCACGCATGCTCAGATATCAACAGATCGGCTAGGCCATGAATTTTATCTTTATGTTGCTATTCAGCTTGGGACGCCAATTTCCTTCACAATAATCGAGACTCAATGATTTACGTTTTCAACCTGGCTTAGCAAAACATTCAGAGGATATAGCGCCATTCTTCATGTATCATACATAATTGTCGAAATTGTCTAGGCTTGAGACATACCAGAGTGGTGTATATATCAGATAAAACAAGGAAGCCACGTCATGTTTGGCTCGTTTATAAGATTGATGATTTCAAGGAACTTCAACAGTTAAAGTTGACTGGTTGGCATCTTCCTCCGCTTGTACAGCAACAAGAGTAGCTTTCAAGGCCTTCTCAAACCGTTTGATCAATACTTCTGATTCTTCTAATCCTACACTGATTCTAATCAGGTTTTGATCAACTCCAAATTCTTCTGCCCAATCAAGTTCAGTAAAATGGGCAAGGATCACATATGGACTTGCCAAAGTGAAGTTAGTACCCAAAGATGGACCTTTATAAACAACCAGATTATCATAAAACACTCTTGAAGCCAATGCCGAAGTAAAGGTGATACTGAATAATCCACCATAACCACCGCTCGTACGTTTACAGGCCTCAAAATTAGCAGTCGTGATATATTGGGGGTAATAGATCTTTTTGATCACCTTTGAGCTGACGGTCTTCATCTGCTGAGTCAGAAAGATGCAGAGGTTTGAAGCATTATGATTGATCCTGTGGACCCGCGATCGAAAATCTCGAGAATTGCGCTCCATATAAATCGCATCTTCATGAAAATAAACATCTTCATACAAAGCTTGACCTTTGGTAGATTCAGAGCCGGAATCTAGAAGTTCCTTCAGCTTCAAGTAATGGGCTGATGATGGATTCAAGACCAGACTGATTACATTCCGGCAAGAGTATCAGCGTTTCTGGAAGATTTCAAACTAAACGAGCAGATAAAAGGTACTACAATAGCTCAACAGACTCACCTTCCACCCATAACATTACTATCGCCACTGAATAGCTTCGTTAACGAGCTGACTATGATATCGGCAAAAGGTAAGACTTCCACATTCACAAAGTTACCAATAGTCTCGTCAATGACTACCAGGAAGCCATACTCAGTAGCCAATTCACGGATGCGTTTCAAATCGGCCGCCTTCAGGAGTGGATTGCTTGGAAATTCACAAAAAAGGGCTGTCACAGGAGGTAGATTCTCTTCACGGTCCCGGACCAAGAGTGCTTCCAAACGTTCGAGATCATCTTCTTCACCGTGTCCAAAGAAATGTGCGCCAGGTCCCCATTTCTGTAAAATTTTCAAGGTATCCGTGTAGGGGAATCCAAAACACACACTTCGAGATGGTCGCAGGCGGAAATCAATGGCATCTGACGAGCGAGTAGCCATACAAAGCTGATGGGCATAGAAGATTGAGCTCATCCCAGTTGGATATAAGTATACATCTGATTCTGATAGTCGGCCCTGACCCCGTTCCGATGGCTTAATAGATTCACTGGGTCTTACATCACTCTTTGAATCATCCTCGTCTGTTAGTACACCGGCTATACGTCGTTTGAGAGCCAACTTGGCAAGTTGAGCTTGCTCAATTGGCAAGTTGCGACCGTACCGTTCCTCAAGGTAGGTTTCGATTGAATCATCTAATGGTCCCGATAATAATTCCTTCGTTGGACTGGAGCATATTGACGGTGGACTAACGCTAGATTTTACGGCGTAATGCCTACGAGAGCCATTGAGAGGGCCACGTCGCGGTAAGGGAGGACTGGTAGGCGATTTGGAGAGAAGTTGTTCGTGGGCAACAGAACCAGACGCTGTTGAGCTCTCGGCACGAACGGGACACAATCCCAGTAGTCTCAGAAATCTTTCAGCAAATCTAGAGGAGATTCCGAGTCCAGTATGTTGCCAAAAAGTACGCGCAAGACGAAATATATCCCCATTGGGTACAAATAACGCATAGACCACAAGAGGCGAATTCAAGGTACCATTGTTCGAACTGACAGATTGAGCTCCAGATCCGGCTGAGACTTTTACAATTCGGCCAACTTCCGATAGCGAGGACTGCTCGGCCGCATCGACAGGGGAGGTAATCTTAGCAGTCAAAAACTCCGAACACAAGGTGGCCGACTTATGTGATGGGAAGAGCATGCACTGCTCTTCAGCTGTGATCGCATGTTTAGAGTGACAAAATTCGGCAAGCTGCACAAAGAGCCAAGGTAAGTTGAGATTATCAATGAAAGGGATGAGAAGGTAAAATTGATCGACTTTTTTTATATCAAGATGGATGAAAAATCTTGGATAACCTGTGAAGAGGTTATTGATCACTCGATCCAATCCAAGTTCATAATCGACATTGTCTTGCCATGTTGGTAATGAGACTGAGACTGCATGTGGAGTAGCAGGTGGAATAGAGCTACCTAGTCGAGCTTGAGGTTCGTTATTGAAGCCCATTTTGATACTTTCGTGAGCTCCAAAGTCAGACTTCAATCCAACTTATGTATTTATTGGAACCAAGCAGTTTGTTTATTCGTCTTCGAATCTTGTCTCGGAATTGATGGGCATCAACTTTGGTTTTTGTTGTTCACCGGCTGTCGGGATAAAAAGTTATCTGTACACATCATGAAACTAGAAAACGAACAAAACCAATTTGTCCACTTCACAATTTACAAACAAGCTTCTTCCCTTCCAAGCTTTCTTTCAGGGCTGCAAGATGAAACGGGTCGGGCCTCGGGTAGGCTTCGGGGCGCTCGGTCTTCGCTCCGGCGAAGCCGCAAACTTTCTCAAAGTTCGATTTGTCTTGATTGACTGGCTTTGACACGCCGTTATGAACAACAGATTGCGCCTGAACCAAGCCGTTCTCAAAAAGCTTGCTTTGTTTGAGTTTATTTTTTGGCAGTTGACGGCCGTTTAGGGCTTCAAAAACCCATGATTGTACCTATTGTGATGACTCAATGAGATGACCAGCTCTCTGAATACAATAGGGGTTGGGCGAAAAAGCGACCAACCGGTTTTCAAACCCAATTCAGTCGCAGTTCAAAAATTTAGGAATGCTTTCGAGATAGCTCGAAGACAATATCAAAGCCACTCATAACCAACCAACATTTTTGTTGGTCTTTTTGCCTTGCAAAATAACAGACCAGTATGAAGTGCTTCTTGATCACACCAAACACTGCAAATATAATGTATTTTTCCCAGGTGAAAAATGATTACATTTATTTCACAAAATGATTAAAAATGCATTAATTCTGCATTAATTCTGCATTTTTCTGCATTAATTCTGCATTATTAATCATTTTGTGCATTAATGTCAATCATTTTTCACCTTGGAAAAATACATTATTTTTGCAGTGAAAGCCTTTGCCCATTCAAAAGCTTTACAGGGAAAAGCAATTTCCACCGCCACAAGCCACGCAACCACCCCCTTCTCACCTTTTACAGATCCCCTGCCCCTTCTGTGAAAGGTGCAAAAACCTACCCGAGTACCGCCATGACCGCATTGGGTTTGGATGCATCCATCATGAGATCGTTCCGCATTGAAAGTTGACAAAGATTCTTAACCCTTGATATTTGATATTTTTTCGCTTGTCATTAAGTTTGAGCGTTTCTCCCGCTCTAATCTCAAATGAAAACTCTTCTTGGTGAAGATGTCTTTTGAATGAATTGCGTTTCAAACGTTGGGAAGTGACTTTTGCAAGTGGTTATGACGGCCTCAGCGAGTTGTGCAACAGGTAGTTACAGTTGATTTAGGAATTGAAAGACACCTTGATCAATCGGCAGAGGCTGGAGGAGAAACGTCGGGCCCAAAGACTGACCTCGGGTCTGACCTGTGAAACCTTCACACAGGTTTTTCGGCCGTCTTCCAAACTTTTCTACTCACCTCTCAAAGGCGTAAAACCGGTTGGTCGCTTTTTCGCCCAACCCCTAATAGCTGAGCTATCGAGTCCTGAACCACCACTCTCATGCCTATCTGTAAACAATTGTCAATACTCATGACTTTCAATACCAACGACTCCACAAGCAATGGCCTTCTAAGCAGTACCCCTACGTCCAGCATCGGACCTCGCCATTCAGTAGCCAACTTGACTGACACCAGCGACAAAATCAAGATTAGGGATTGGGCAAAGTGCAGGCCCGAAAAGTGACAGTTCCAATTCAGTTGATTTGGAAACCTAGTTACACTGCCAGCATTAAAGAGGTTCCCAGATGGGAATATGGGTCCTAGTGATCAGATTCCCATTCTGCTACTGTTACACAGTGGCGTATTGCAAAAGTCAAACAAAAAACATGTGATCTGGCAGGATCAGACGTTCTTTTCCTCATTTCCCCTCATTTCCACTTAGATCCCCAAGCTACAATCCAAAAGGGAAGCCTTCAAAAAAAATCACAGATTGCACTGGCCTACCTTTCACGGGCTCCGCGTGCCAAACCTGACTTGAAAGGAGGCCTCAGGTAAACTGATGGGAGGACAGGTTTGTGAAACCCATCCTTCCATTTTTGCGGCTTTGGCAGCCTTCTCACAGCCCCCAATCACAAGTCACTGGCAGGCCAGTGCCTCCCACCAACCCTAGCAAGTTATGAGAAAGTTATGAGAAAGTTATGAAATGGATATCAAATGGATAACATCCATCAATTGAGAATTTGTTGAGAAGTGGTTGGGATACCACCAAAATTGAGATGATGTCATACAGCATCATAAACCTGTACAAACCTGCTCCTGTATTTCCCCACCAAGAATATATAGTTTATTAACCTTTGTGACGTAAAGTGACTGAGTTATTGAGGTTTGAAAAAAAAATCACGGACAAAAAATACTATTTTGTACTATACCTAAGAATTGATTCTGGAATACCTTCCAGATTTATGAATATACATACAAAAAAAATTGATAATCCTCTTTGAAAATATGTTTCTCCACATTTTTGTCCCCTAAAGCCTTCCTGTATGGGCAGTATTTCTACATGTAATTCCTGAATGTGTCTGCAAGTTTGGTTTTTTGAAGTTATTTGCCACAAGACAAAATTTTGAGGGAACATATTGCCAAAATCATTCTGAATTTGATTGATATACATGTAGATGGTATTTGACAAAAATTTCTGCCATAAACTTTGCCATATGCTGTCTAGAATCAAAGAATCAATCAAATTGTTGACTGCGCATGTACACACCACAATTACATATAGAAATACTGCCCATACAGGAAGGCTTTAGGGGACCAAAATGTGGAGAAACATATTTTCAAGAGGAATGTCAATTTTTTTGTGTATGTGTATTGATGAAGCTGGAAGATATTCCAGAATCAATTCTTAGGTATAGTACAAAAATAGTATTTTTTGTCCGTGATTTTTTTTTCAAACCTCAATAACTCAGTCACTTTACGTCACAAAGGTTAATAAACTATATATTCTTGGTGGGGAAATACAGGAGCAGGTTTGTACAGGTTTATGATGCTGTATGACATCATCTCAATTTTGGTGGTATGACAAATTTTGCTGGTAAGTGACCCAAAACATCTTAATAGCAGATGGATGTTATGCTGAAAACAAATTGAAGTTTTGTTGAAAACATTTTGGAGACATCTATTTGAAGCTGCAGTGAGACCGGTTGACCGTGATTTTGCCCAATCCCTATTGTCAACCCTGCACGTTTGGCATCTGAACATGCAGCCTTCTGCCACCAAACTTGTGTCAATCCAGCTCATAGTAACATGGACTATAGGGCCAATCAAGCTTGTGGTATGTTCATTCCTCAATCTTTAGCATTTATGTTGGTGTTTGATGGACTGGTGTCAGCCCTGAGCCCTGTGTACAGGACCATGGACAAACAAAAACACATGTAAATATATGTAATACATATGTAAATATATGTAACTTGTCTAAAACTATGAGAATTACACCTCATGGCTCAGTATCAAGAGTCAATTAGATAACAACACCTAACTAAGACTTATATATTAAAGTAAACCTAACCCAAACCTAACTCAAAGGAAGATAAACCTCAGCGCCAACCACAAGTTGGCACCTAGGTCTAGAATATATAAACCCCTCTTCTTCCCACTATGGAAGGAGAACCAACTTATGTTGGAGATTATCGTTCTCGAACAAGGTGTCAAACATGTATCTCAATTATATTATTAAAACCATTAAGGTGTAAGACTACACATTGACTTGGAACAATCCGGTAGGAAGGAAAGTTGTGGCTAAGTGAAGGGTGTGATTTAATTGTGTAATGGTGGAGTTTGATGGAAGATGCCTTACGCATTGGGATATTTCAATTGAGGGTGTTAGTGCTACTGTTCTTTCTTTTTGCTTCATGTTATGGTTTTACAAATTTTGTCAAAGATGTTTTTCTCTCATATACTCCTCCCTCTCTCCCTTTTGAATCCTTTTCCCTCATTGAGGAAATAGATTTTAAAGGTGAGAGTCATAGTATTTTTCTTTTTCACTAATAGACTAAAACTCTGGCACTATTCATTACATCCTCTTTTCTCATTTGTCTATTCATCTCACTACTACTTCTCTACCTTAGCTTTCTATACTTTTAATCCTCCTCTTTCTGTCGTCCAGGTTAGTTCACGAGTTTAGTACTTGTCCTTCATAAGTTGTTAGCCGTGTCTCGTCAACATTAGGCTAAGTGTTGTCTTACACCTTTCTTAAAGGTTCTGTCACAGATCTTCAGCGTCAAGCTTGTGATCTTTACTTTCTCACAACTTATTATCATTCCACAATTCCACATCACAACTTACTTGATTCTTACCAAGAATATTGAGTACAGTGATTTTATTGTATTTGATCTTATAGTTCTACAACCTTCCTCAAGCCCTTGTAAGCTTTAAAGTGGTGGTTCTAAACTAGTGGGACTATATAGTTATAGAACCAAGCCTTAGCATTGCATAGGATACCTCCTGAGTTGAGTGTAAAGTATCCAGCGGAACCTTTGAGCAATCAGAGTGTAAAGTTCTGCAGGCTCTATCCCTAACAGAGCTCTTGAGTAAGCTCCTTTGAAGGATTACTCCGCCATCCAACTGGCTTTAGACCCTCTTCTTAGAGGTCAACTAAGTGAAGTATTTACTTGTGTGTACCAAGTGAAGACCTTGTTAACCTTTATTCCACCCATACTTCACCTTTTTGTGAAGAGTCAGCCAGAAAGTAGCTGACCACTCACAGCTGGCCTGTCTTTCTTTCAGCTATTGAGAATGCCTGTCGCGCTATTGAGGATGCATGTTCTGCCTGGCAATCCAGCTTTATACAAGCAGCAGCAGCGGGCCGTCAGGCTCTTTGATGTGAGTGGCTTATTTCAAATTTTCTTGCTTTTAGAATTAAACACAAAGCTGATGATTCTCTCTGTTTGAAAAGCTCATCATGATCCCCAATTAGACCATAGAGGGGGAGGGGATCGGGGTGTCCCTGGCTTATACACCAATGCTTTGGCAGAACATCATGGAGTTCTGCCTATGTACAACTCTCAATGTGGCATGCTTCAAGTCGGAAAGGGGGTGCTCACAAATGATACACCTATCTTGAATCTCAACAACTTGTTTTGCACTTCAGTCAATCAGAGATCTCAGTGTCATTTGCCAAGAAGTCTTCTCACAAGTAAAAGTTTGAATCAACTGGCTATTCCTTCAACTTCAAACCAGTTAGCAGTGAACCTAGTGAGACTTTGAGTCTTTCACAAAGCGTAACTATGGGGACCAAAAGATATTGCCTGCACTTCAACCGGAAGATCAAAAAAAAATCATCAAAGAGGGTTGGAACCTCTTTAAGACTAAAAAGGCAACAGACAACAAGCCCAACAATCACATTGTTTTTGATTCCAACCACACCACAGCTGAGCAAGTTATTGCTCTTACGGTCACATCACTCAATTCCATTCAATTAAACCTTGGAGCTTACCTCAAGAATCCAAATCCGAAGTCCAACGTTGGGCCTTTGCGTTGCGGGAAGTGCGCAACGCAGGGCAACACCGAGCAACGGCCTGGTAGAGGCAACGCAGCGCAACGCACCTGTGCAGACAGCTGCCCGGTGCGATGCTCAATGAGGTCGGGGTTTTTGTGTAGTTGTGTTGCGTTGCTGGCGACGTCCCGCGCAATGGACAGGGCAATGGACCATCACCCATATGGTGTTGCCCATTTGGGTGATCCGATTCCTAGTGACCCAATCCATTCTAGCGTCCAACCTCTTGGATCTAGATTCGATCATCAACATCTTACACCCTTCCTCAACCCCTTGCTCAAGTCAACATGGCGTGTTCTAGACCCCTGTATTTCCGAATTCAAATCAAAAATTCAAACCAAACAAATGATACACTTTTCATACCTCGAATCCGAGTAATCAAACATTTACAAATCATCATTCCACGTCCTCAAACTGATTTCGCTGAGTCTGAATCACAATCCATTCTGTTATATAAATCTTCAGAGTATCATTGTTTCTTATTTTTCTCCACTCAGAGTCCCAATCTTAGATCTTATTCTCTCTTAATCTCTCTCTTACTTGTGATGGCTACCATCTCAGACAACGGCTCAGAGTCAGAGTCCCAGTCAGAGTCTTCGAGCCAACCCGTCTTGAATACTCCACTTTGTTGCTCAACCAGACCACCAACACCGCGCAAAAGCTTACCTGGCATGATTCAGCCATCTGCTGACAGTTGTCTCACCATAACGTTACCTCGTACCTCCGGTTCAATGCCTGCACGAAGAAAGCAAACCTTGAAAGATCCCGATTATCAAAGCAACACTTCCCCTCCTTCTCAACAGCCTGCACCTCGTAGGAAGCAGAAAAACCCAGCTTCCAATGCGAAGACGTCCCAGGTGAGGACTTATCCATCTTCAAATCATTACAATCATCACTTATTATTAATGAATTTCTCTTGATTCTTTTCAGTTGCCTGGAAACACAAACAAACCCACCGACACCAAAATGAACCAAGATTCTGATGATGGCCTAACCGATCAACAGAAATCTAAACAAGCAAAGGTGTTGCAAGATGATGGCAACGAGCCCAAATATGCTCCTATTTGGGACTACTTTGGAGTTCCCTGGCACTCCAAGAAAGATGTAAGTGGACCATTGATCAATCATTTCATGTATACTATAGCTAGCAAACCTTGACTCACACTTTTAATTTTTGACAGGATCCCAAGAAGAATCCATTGTCGTGGTGATGCCTATGGTGTAAAGGTGAAGTACGAGTAGTTAATGAATCACTGAATAACCTAAAGATCCACCGAGATGGCTACAACAAAGGTCGTGTACAATTACCTTGTAAACGCCGCCAGGACGCCATCGACAGTGGTATTCTCCTTCCTCCAACAGTGTTTGAAAAAGAGATAGCGGCAAATGGACAACAACAGATGCCTAATTATTTAGACAGAAAGCTCCCATTCAAGAATGAGGCTCTCAATCACATTCTTGCTGTCTGGATCCTTGCTGAGGCATTACCCTGGAATCGGATTGAAGACCACCTGCTATGCATTGCTTTTATTTACGCTTGGCAAGATGCGAAGATCTTTGGTCAAACGTGGGTCGCCCGAGAAGCTGCCGGGATGTACACATCATTTCAAGATACAGTTTTAAAAGAAATTTTGGTGAGTGCATTGATCACTTCTGATCATAAATCATTGCAACTGACATTGATTTTTATTGTAGAACAATACTGGCAAGTTTACTTTGATACACAATGGGTGGACGTCGCACAACAACATACACGCATTCTTGGGTGCTGCAGTGACCTTTATCAATTCCGACTGGAAATATCAGGTTCGCCATCTAACCTTGAAGTTGATTGCTTGGCATCACAAGGGAGTATGGCTCGCACAGCCATTGGTACACTTCATGAAGAAACACAAACTTCAATATAAGATGAGTGTTTTCAGAGGGCTTTTTATTCTTCTGTCCATCTACTGAAATCCACTTGACCCAGATACTTACTTTCTCTTTTAAACAACTCCACATGCTTGCCCAGGTGACTGATTCTGGGTCAAACAACCTCACGATGGCCAACGAGATGCACACACAATTTTTGTCGCACGAGGAAAACCAAACGTATCCTGATTCTTCTTCACCTTCACAAATCAATTCATAGCTGTGGGACCCCCAGACGGACTACGCTCGATGCTTCCTCCGTAAAATTCCTTCAACGGTCAAAGGTGGTCTGGAAGAACTTGGTTGTACCGCTTCCACACGGGCCCAGGATCGTGAAGATCACCTTGAAGGTCTTCCCTTTCTCAGCAACACTGCCAGTAATCGCCGAGGAGGATGAAGAGTCAGATAACTTGAACGACTCTGCAAGACCCATTGTAATTGACCTACCCAAAGAAGAGCATAAAGCACCAGAAGAAGTCGACACCAATCACGACTCTGAAGGTGACAAATCTGAAGTGGCTCCAAACTACGATGAACGCCTTGAGAATACAGAGGACCCAAAGGATCCTACCATGACGCTGGAATCCACAAGCGGCAACAAATACCACACCAGCGCTTCCAGAAAGAAAGCAAATCGATTGAACGAGTTGATAAGTAAGGTGAGATATAATTTTACATCGGATTTCAATGTTTAGCTTTTTTGTGGCCGTACCTGCAATCTGACATTGTGTTGTTTGTTGGGCTGCATTCAGGCCAACTTTCTCTCACGTTGGGTAGCTCGCTCTACTGCTTGGAGGCGACACTTCTCCAGGATAGCCAAAAGCTTCAACGTGAAAGTGTTGCCCTTGACGCCTGGTTATAATGCTACTCAGTGGAATGCTGAATTTGACTCTCTCAACCGTTTGGTGAAGGCACGTAAGGTTAGTTACTTTTCTGTTTGTAATTTCCATCTATAGTATTATGGAATTAACTGTGCTTATTTATTGTTATCAGGTTGTGAACAGACATTTGGTCGACGACCTTGAACTTATCAAAACAAAAAGACGTCGAAAGGGCAGCCACAAGCCTTGAGGTTATTTCCATGAGATTTTTTTGCTCCTGATGATTGGACTGCCCTTGAGGAGTTGACAAACAAACTGGCTGTATGTATCACTTTAGTTTGCCTGATGCCTAATCCTGAGCTGACTTTCAGCATCTTCGCTGCCTAATTAATAGCCATTCATGGATCTAACAAAGCAAATGGAAGGCGTCGGCCCCACCGGTTGTTTGGTAATCCCCGAATTTTTTGCACTCAAGTGTCACCTTGCCACTCGGGTCAAAGAACTATCCTTGGGAGACGCCCTTTTGCCTATGATTTGATCTATGCAAGCACAAGTAGACAAGTATTTTGAAGAAGCTTTTCAGTGTGATACCACGGTTATGGCCACTCTCCTCAATCCCTTTTTCCGGCTTCAATTTTTTGAAAAAGCTTTTGGATTGGAGCACGAAATGACTAGTCGAGCTAGAAAGTTATTACAAACAAAATTCAATATCCGAAGTATTGAGCATGCCAAACGCAATGTGCCTGATGAGACTGAACCTACACCTTCTTCATCAAATGGCAAACAGGGTCCTTTAAATCTTTTCCAGCTATTCAAGTCTCAAGGCAATGAGGTAGGGTCAAATGAGATCTCGGCCTACCTTAAGGGAGCTCATCCGATGTCTTCCAATGACAACACACAAGAAACAAAGGCTGTCTTGCCATGGTGGAAGGTATGGGTCTTCTCATCAATGTTTCATTTATTCTTGAACAATAGCATTCATCTCTCTGACTTTTGATCATGTACAGTTGCACAGAAGTGGTTTTGCGGTCCTGGATTCTCTGGCACAGGACTATTTGAGCCTGTCTGTGAGCTTGGCCATAGTCAAACGAACTTTTTCCGCAGCGGCAGACATCTGTTCTTCAGACCGGGTGCGACTGGTCCCACGTACGATTGAATGCTGTGTAGGGGCACGGCTGTGGTGGTGTCAGCATGTACCATTAGCACACAAGTATACGGAGGTCAATGAAGCCATTGAAGCTTTTGGGGGTGGTAGACGATCTATAAAACACCATAAAAAATAGTTTTATATTCTTTGTTTTGTACCTTTCTATTTCTTTATTTAGTTTAACTATACCCCCTTTCCTTTATTATTATGTTATGCCACCTGTTCCCTTACATATAAATATGCTGACAAATTATGAAAGTCTTTTTCTTATGCCAATTGCAACGCCAGCAACTGTTCTAACATTGCTGGCAACGTGCAAAAAGCAACGAGAGCTACTGCCCCTTGCATTGCTTGCAACACAACGGGCGTTGCTTGTGCTCTTTGCGTAGTGAGGTTTTGGGACTGAAAAAAAAAGTTGTTTTGTGCGCGAATCTCAGTTGCCCACAACGCAATGCAAAGGCCCAACGTTGCAAAGTCAACCCAGGTTGTAAACTGGCTTGGTGTTGGTCTTACCCCAACCAGTTGCCTCTCTACGCTGTAGAACTTATAACCCAACAAGGGTTATACAGAGCTGGAAGAGGATAATCCACTAATATAATGACTAGTAGAAGTTGTCTGAGACTGCTCTTCTAAAACAACACAATCAGGAAAAGGTGCTGTTGTATTGAGTACAGATAAGGCACCAGAGAAATATAACTTTCACACATATTTTAACTTCAAAAGCACAATTTTTATTACTATCAACACTGCTATAGTGGTATTCCCTAATGATAAATAAAGAAAATAAGCAATATCTTAATGATATTATTCCCAATAAGTCTTTTTGACTGCAACACTAAAGTAAATTTTTCTTTATAGCTATAATAAAGGGTGTATTTAAGTGACCAGGTACTATTAGAATAAGTTTATGATGATAAACAAAATAATATCTGCGTAAATGATACAGGAAAAAGGGGAACAACAGTCCCAAAATCATCTCAAATTATATATAACAATGTACTCCAACTTTTACAATGGACAACAGCCTCAAAACCAATCAAATCTGCCCAGATATTCCTAAAAACCCTATAATGACGTAATGTAATGATCTTGTCACTAATAAATGATGTAATTTTCACAGCCACAAGTGATCAATGACGCAATAATATGATGTACAGCACTTCTTATGATGAATACAGGTGATTTTTTCCTTGTAAACTAGCTGAAAACCAAATTTTGAGATTACAAATTTTTTCAGATGAGCTCCAATTTTTGATTACTAAAGTGTATCTTGTAGCCCTCGTGATACTGATCATTTATCACCCCCATATGACCTACCTCTGATGATTGATGAGTAAGATATTGATTTGTGAAGTTAAGGTTTTTAGTGTTACATGTTGACTTGTGACTGTAAATTTGAGATTCACACCAATTTCTGATTTGCCTTATAACTGTTTTCATAAACCTCCGCTACTAGTGATTTAAAGTTTGTACATTATGTGATCTACTCTTCTGCGTTGAATGAGCTATCTACCAACCTAATCTGACGTCATTTGACATATGTAATGAGCTGAAAACCTTCATTTTTGACGAAATTCACCCATTTTCTTCACTTTTCACAGCTGCTACTCTCTTTTTCTTGCTCATGTAATATGACATCATCCTCTATGCCCTTAAAAATCCTGTAAAATCCTCTTGGCAACCTTAAATCCCACTATTACCACCATCACATATGTAACTACATGTATGCCCCTTGTTTACCAACTTCAAAAAAGTACCTTTTCCCTAATAACTTCTGTTTCTTCTTATCAACCTTCAAGATTAAAATTCTTACAGTATAATATAATGTTGTTCTTTCACATTAGAACCTCATGAAACCCATAACTCCATTATTAATACCCTAAAAACCATTTTCCAACCTTTGTACCTATATTTTCAAATTTTTCTTATGTTTTTATTTATTTATTTTTGGAATAAGTTTGTGAATTAACTTTAATGATATTAATGAGTAATGTGAAATAGAATGATTTAATGTTAACCCAATGACCAATACATAAGCCCATAAGAGCTTCAATTGATCCAAAAACCTCCATTTTGAATTTTCTTCCCTGCTAAACTTTTCTGGTAAGCTGGTAAACTGCTAATAATGAATTTTTTGATTGATCCCTTAAATTGATCACCACAACTCAACAAAACAATCTTCAAGATCCGATCAAGTGGGCTCAGTTCAAGACTCTTCTAGGCTCTGCAAAAGTATCATCAGGATGGCTTGTAGAGATGGAAAATCCAGCAATCCCAGCTGCTGCTGTTGAAAATCACATGAAAGTTGGTGTTTACTTGGGTTCATGGGAAGCTAGTCAACTCAACAAAGACAGTGGCCCCGTTAATACTCCCCCATCAGTAGAACAAAAGGCACCTACCAATGTTCAGGAAGTGTTTGCTCATTTGAAACGTGAACATGTAGTTAACCATGGTGGGTCTGACCATGTGAGGTTCAAAGACCCCAAAGACTCTACAGAATGGGTTAGTCTGACAACTCGCAAGATCAAGATTTGGGCTGATCTTATTGTGACTGTTTCTTTTCTTGTATCAGGTGTTCTAGATTCAAGAACTAAACCATCCTTTTGTACATACAGATTGCTGCTTGCAAAGAAGGCCAAACTAATGTTGATATTTACAAACCACCTTTACTTCCGGCCTTCAAGACATTTGTAAAAGGATCAATTACTCACCCTGGCTATGTTGAATTTCCAGATGATCCCCCACCTGTGGGATTCATGGCGATCAAACCTGGACCTTCAGCTCAAACATCACCCGCTTTGGCTTGAAATATTGCGGAAGACAATATCCGTCTTTATCAGAAGAAGTATGTTGGGGATATAGAGGATTTTCTCAAATTTTCCAAAGTCAATCACGGCTCCAGCTTGAAGCAAAGCTTATCCAAAGCTCACTTTGATAGCTGGAGCTCTCTTAAGCCAAGCCCTGCGTTGACTTTGGATGTATTGGAAAAAGTAGGAGTTTCTGTTGGTCATGTGAACCATCTATTCAATTTGACCGCACATTATGAGAAAGTTTTGATTGCCAAGCTTGCTGCACTGGACGCACACGAGTCTTAGCTTGTATAAGCTACATCTGACCTACAACTCTTGACCTCATAGGCCATATCATCTTTTTTTGTATTTTTCATGGAGTTTCATTTCCTTATCTTTTGTATTTTTCATAGAGTTTCATCTACTTTGCTGTTCTCTGTTGTAATTGTGTATTTTGTAGGAGGTGCCAGATGTGAGATGTTGATATACTTTTTCAATAGAAATGCAGCTCTTGTGTGTGATGTCTTTAAGATTGATATACATTGATTTCAAAAAATAGATCTCTCTATGCCATCATTGACAAAAATGAGATGTTCTCTCTTTTGTCTGTTATGTTTTTAAGAGGATTTGATTCTGGGCACAGTTTGCTCTTGATAGCAAGTGACTTATTGTGGAAAGTCCAACTATTTTCAATTGCAATAAGATTGAATATTACAATCCAATTACAACATGATGTTTAGCTGACAAATTCATAATTGGATGATTGATTCTAGAGAGACAGAAGGAATTTGCTTTGAGAAACCAATCCATTGGAAATCAATGGTTGGTCTAACTTGCTGAACAATTGTAAAGAAGACAATGGAGAATTATACTTGATGATCGGTTGTCTAATGATTGGTGTAGCTTGATGAATTTGAGAGAGACTGAAAGTTGCTGATTGGTCTAACTTTCTGATCAACTGTGAAGAAGATATGAAGCTTGATGATTTATTGGGGAATTTGAGGTAATTGATCCAAAAGTCAATGATGTTCAAATATGATAAAAACAGATAGAAACTTACCTTTTATAAGTGAACCAATCCTTCAAAAAGGCTGCAGATGAGTTCAGGTGTGAGTTCTGCATCAGCAGTATGGTAGATGATGTTCATCTCCTCTTGTGGTGAGTGTGCTCTGTTGAGTGCACCACTCCTTCGGAGTCGGGACTTAATGACACAGAACACCTTCTCAATAGGATTAAACTCTGGACTATAGGCTGGTAAGTACATCAATTGTACACCACCTTGGTCACAGAGCTCCTCAATGAGACCTCCACGATGAATGGATGCATTATCCATGACGAGAACACTGTTCTCAGCTGGGAATGGGTTCATCATGGGTAGCTGGAAACAAAAAAGATGACTTTAGTCTTGTAAACACTGATAAGAATCATAGAATCAAGACGTACAAGATGATTGGAGAGAAAATCCTCCATGTCATTGTGGCAAATCACACCTTCTTGAACCACCATCCCAAGATAGCCGCTCAATGAGATTGCAGGAAGCAAGGAAAACTTGCGTGACCTCAGAGGCTTAGGAATTTGTCTGGTATGTTGACCCCTTGGTGCACGAGCTTGAGGCCGGTGTAGTTTTTGGGCAGCCATTGCGCTCTCATCTGTCCCAAGATGAGTGTCAGCGCAAAAGAATAGAAATGACATCACAAAAAAAGAAATCCACATACCTAAGAAAACCAAGCAAGCAGGGTCAATTCCACCCACATTGTAAAGGAATTGGCTTTGTGCGTTGGGGCATTGATTTGGGTTGAAAGTTTTGGCTACCTTCACAGTAAGACCAAGACAGTCGCGTACCTTGCAAGCTAAATTAGGGATTGAAACAACAACACCCCTCTCAATTGCAACTTGGTGTGCTAGCTTGTCAAGGTAGATAGCTGGCTCAGCATCAATGGCTGCTTTGATAAAGTCGCACTGCTCATTTGATAAGATTGTTGGCCTTCCAGGAGGATCATAGAATGAAGGATCCGCAATGACTTGGCGAGTCTCATGATACAAACTGAGCTATCAAGTCAGTGAGTCGCTTGATACCGTCAATTCAAGGTCTTGATTGATCATTTCGAGTGTATCACCGCGGAGAGCTTTGCAAATGATGATGTATTTGATGCCGGACAAGTACAAAACAAAAGGCATTGTTGTATAAGAGGAAAGCTGAAAGATCAAAAGAAATCAGCAAACAAAGCAGGAAACAAAACAAGGACTGAGATGACTCACCAGAGTGATAGACAAATTTAATGAGAATGTGATGATGTTGAGAGTTAAAGTGAAAGAAAGGTGGTGGGGATAGAGGACCAAAATTGAGCTGTGATGGTTCACTCGATAGCTCCGAGATTGGTGTGGTATTGTATTGTTACTTGTATTACGTCACAATCATGGGTTTTAAGAGGCCGAAACGGTAAACGGCCGTTAACTGCCAAAAAAATAAAATCAAAAAAGCAAGCTTTTTGAGAACGGCTTGTAGTACAATAAGCTTCACTAAGCTCTTCTTGCCACTCGTGAAGAAACTTAGAACACCTAGACTTTGGTATTGATCTGAAGGTTTCGGATCAGAAACGTCAAGCTAGTGAAGAGGGTCTACTCACAGCTTCATGAATCAAGACCACATCAAGCTCTGTGCGTCTTTACAGTTTCAACAAGTATTATCACATTGCCAACATATTTCCATTAGATCTCAAAATGCAATCAATCATCACACATCCAAATTTGATGTACATAATTGTCTACCTTTAAGCAACTTCTGATAAATACTTTCTCTCAAAAGAAGACTTCAAATGACATCTCTAGAATGTCCTCTGAAATGGTAGGCACAGGTACCTCCATCAATCCGTCATGTTTCATAGTCTGATGGATCTTAGTTACCGGCATGTATAACTTTTGGATTGTTGAGTATCCTTGAAGTCGTCAACTCGTGCGCTGCAAGCTTTGCACTTCTTCGCAGGAGCCTTCAATGTCATGCAGGGTATCTCTCAGCGGGAAGTCACTGACAGTGTAGGTAATCCGGATTTCCAAGAGATTGATCCGGGAACTGATCTGTGTGGAATATATATTGTAGTACAAGCGAAAGTGGGTATAGAGCTAGATCTCTAATTGGTTATAAGAAAGATAAAAAAGGATTGAAGTTTCTTAGACAGTTCAGGATACATTAACTAGTAGCGTATATATAGGTTGAGAGTAGATTGAAAATGGGAGCATCAGTACTGTTTAAAGAGGAGATCCATGCCATGAAATAGATATTCGAAGAATAGATGCACATTTACTATCTAGGAACAAGAGCATTTACAAAATAGTGTGTCTGATGGCAAGACTCAAGAGCGGAGAGAAATACAAACATCATGACTCAAATGAGAAAAATCTTACCCCGTTGATGAAGTCTCTTGGTCATCCTTTACCCGAGTAGTATAGCTTGTGGGGGAACCCTGTTGTTCATGTGGACAATCAGCTTCAGATTTTCTATCCTGCATCTTCAAATCCCCATGGGGTACTGGGTTTAATGGTATTGGAGTCTTCTTATACGCCAGCATTCGCTTAGTTGAAGCCAACCGGTATGCCAAAACACTAAATATGAAGTCAGAGGCAAGGTACTAGACGTCAAAAGCAGAAATTCCTCACATGTTTCCAACGACAGACGCCACAGAGGCGAGACTCTTAAGGTTTGTAAAGAAGAAACAGACTTTACTCAGTAAAAGCTCTCAACGTTTTCTGCCTTGACAAAAAAATCATCAGAGAGAGTGATGCTTACCAGTTCAGGTACTATTACTGATTGTGGGGAAAGCAGGAGATCTTCGCCAGACCTTGCAGCTACCTAAAAAGTGATCACAGGTTCCGAAAATAATGTCAAACCCGTTGCAAGAGATGGATAGTAACCTGGATTGCTTACCGTCCACACAAACACCGGCATATATGATGCCAACCAGAAGCACAGACAGCCTGCTTCAATAAAAAGTGCTTTAATTTCTTCACGGTAAGTAAACCTCAAGCTTCGATTTGGATCCATTCCAAACGGAATGTGTGTTGGACTTTTATGCAAAGTCTTGTATTGTCGATACGTTAAGTAGACGAAAATCATATATATCTGCAGAGAATAGCCAGATCAGTCCCAACAACAGTGCCGCGATGCCTGTTCATTGGAGAAAGCTTGGATTTTATATTTGACTCACAGTCATCAAGGTGAAGTCGAGAACGAAAAAAGCATAATGGGTTTTAAGGAATGCCGACGCGAATTGTTGCTATAATGATTGTCCACAGGACATATTGTTGGAACCACGTAAGTAAGTGGGAGAAGTGACTCTTCAGATCTAATCCGAATATTTGAGCATCCGACTTACATAAAGTTCTGGGAGTCTTTCTAATGGGGATATGATCATTTCCAATTTAGCCCATGAGAATTGTAATGTATCCGTCTCAGTAGACGCCAAGAGTAGTTCCTCGGTCACGCGATCCAGTGTGTTGAAAATATCGGTTTGCCGACGATAAGCCGGAATATAGATCGAGCAAAGAACTAAATTTCATGCAAAGTAAGCACTGTGATATTGGGGACTGACAACGAGAAAACATCATCCAATCAAAAAGTTAATCTACCTGGAACATTTACCACAAGCCAGAAGACAAATATTCCATTGAGCAGGTTTATCACCCATGAAGGCATCCCACAACGTTCGCTATTGGAGTCTTCTCTAAATGTGGGGTCCCAAAAAGCGCGCACTCGGTTCGCGATAGTACCCCACATGATGCACCTGAGCTTGCAAGAAGGTGAGTAAGATATATCAATACGCGAGGGCCTAAATTTAGAAAGTTCCTACCACAACATGAAGCCGACTATAGGCCAGCGATACCACTCAAGAAAAAGTTTTCCTCGCACGGGACGTTGAGCGATGTCTGTGTATAGCTGACAGGACATGTCTACAATGGTGACTGTCTGACTTTGCCTTTGTAAGCAACGTATAGTATTCAATCCAATATCAGAATCACTGACGTGCTGCATAACATATTGAGCCTATCGACTCCACAAGTACGCGATCAGGCTTCAAAAGTCCACCTAATATATATTAATTCAATTATCAAAGACCCAAATCATTACTGTATAGGTGGGGTGAAGAAATTATTGATGAATGATTGTCTCACTTTTGAACTTTTTCATGAACCAGTAGTGTCCCGATTGAATATGATTAATCAAGACCAGTGTTGCCAAAGTCATTATGCTAAAAGCAGGAATGAAAGGGCGTCAGTTTGAGAAATTGTGGGTGACTGTGTCATGAGTCATAGATTTTAGCACATACGAGATATGCGCTAGAAGAAAGACAATCAAAATAAAAGACATCCACGTTGGATTACGCTTCCTTATTTCAAATTTCAATTCATTCGGTTGAGCGAGTCCAAAGGTTTGTGATTGATCATGATCGAAATGAGGGCAGCCCGTGATTCAAACGCAACTTCGAATCTATTAGAAGCAGAGAGCAATAGATCTAGAAGATGGGAAGAAGCATATCTCTTACCGCCGAAGCCTGCGCGTAGATGTAAGGGATCAAAGCAGCGTAGGCATTGATATCCGGTGGAAGTGTTCTCAGAAGGGCCGCGATTTTTGTAACGCCTGTGTCGACCTTTTGACAGCGAAGGTATGAACAAAAACTTCATGAGCGGTAGGCAGTAAGAATCTTCCAGTGAAACTCACCATTTCTCGAAGGATTTCACTATGATGAAAGAGGCAAGATAAAAAATTGGAAAATTATGTGTATTCCTTGATGAGCTGCTTTGGCCATCATGATGACACTAGAACAAGAATAGGCTTTTTGTAACTGAGGCGAAAAAGGGTTTTGCGCCTCTAATCAGCGAGATCCATGGATTTACGACCGTGAATTGTCGATGACTCAATTCCCATGATCATTCTCGTCAAGGTGAGGCCGGAGGGGGGCGAGCCGGGAGGAAATGACACATTGCATGGAATGCCTGTGAACTCACATACCCAACTCGTGCTTCACTTCATTTGTTTGTGAACCAGCTGAGCTCTAAGCTTAACATAAGGGGTAGGTGATTTTTACACCGACCCATTTACACCGAATCATTCAGTGTAAAAAGGGTCGGTGTAAAAATCAAAGAATGGGGGGGGTTCTTTGAATTTTACTTAGCTTAACAAAGCCCTCTCTGCGCGGCCGCGTCCGCGCCCTCGCAGAGGGGCTTAGGACTAATCGTCGATTTTTGGCTTGAGCACTACACTCCTTAAGTGTCTCTAAGGAGTTTTTCGCATTTTTACGCTTCCCTCACAAACCAACCTCACTTGGCGCTGCTGGGAAAGTTGTTCATGATCATTTTCTACATGTGTATATCTTGTTATCACGAGAGAAACACTACCTCACCATGCTGTTCTTGAGGGAGTTTTCAAGCCTTATGTCTCACTTGTAAAGGGGCATACAGGGTGAATTTGCACCGTACCCGATTTTTGAATCATTTCTACAGGTGTGTTGTAAGAATCATCAACCTCCTTTTTTGGCCACACCGTTCACACTGGCCATGATTCTAGACTACAAGATTATGTAGAATTTTTATCAGAACAACTTTCCCTGCGGAGTCAGGTGAAGTTTGTTTGTGAGGGAAGCGTGAAAATCTGAAAAACACCTTAGAGACACTTAAGGAGTGTAGTGCTCAAGCCAAAAATCGACAATTAGTCCTAAGCCCCTCTGCGAGGGCGCGGACGCGGCCGCGCAGAGAGGGCTTTGTTAAGCTAAGAATTTTACACTTGTTTTGTTTTTTTTTGTCGGTGTTATCAAATTCCGTGTAAAAAAGACTGTGTAAAAGTCATGTGCCCGGTCGTGAGTTGTATTTTTACACTGACTATTTTACACATGCTACGGCTGTGTAAGAAAAGTCAGTGTAAATATCTTGGGCCCCGACCCGAGGTGTATTTTTACACCGAGAAGATTACACCGCGCTACCATGTGTAAGGTCGGGTCGGTGCAAAATTGCAAAATTGCTGAGCTGGCATGCAATTTTACACCGATCATTTACACCACATCTTCAACGCAATACCACTTCAGCCATTTGAAAGCCTGATAAACCCCCAGCGCGGATATCAATTGGAGAAGCTCATTATCAGTTGGTAACTCGTGGCTATTGGGGTGGCAATCATTATTGGTGCCAGGTGGTGCGGTCGGTGGAAGGTGTTTTAGATGTCTGGCATTATGATGAGCTTAAAAATGGGGGCTTTGCCCAGCTCATATCCCGCGAGGTGGACAGCATTGCTGGGTGCATTCCTGACACCAGCTGGACATGTTACACACGGGTTCCTTTTGAAGCAGAAAGCGCCAAGATCAAGCATGCGATTTTGGAAATGATGAAGAAATTTCCTACCCAGCACTTCAGAATTCCATTCTCTTTGCCTACAAGCACATCACCTTTTGGAGGTGGCCTTCCCTCACTTGAAGAAACCAAAAAAGGCCCTTCAACTACCTCTATTCTACCCAAAACGGCTTCATTGGAACTTGGTGTTGACGCTGGAGAAGATGAAGAACATCTTGACATAAATGACGACGTCATCTACGATAATGACGACATCATCTTGACATAAATGACGACGTCATCTACGATAATGGCGACATCATCTATGATAATGACAACGTCATCTACGGTAATGAAGCCCCTCTTGATGAACACCATGTCATAGGTACCGAAGAGGCCGACATCAAGCTTGATGAGGACGCTCTATCACCTTCTGAAGAACTCGAAACCGCTATAAAACCTGTCAACAAATTGAAGATTAAGTTGGCCATACCCAAGAACCCTCTTCCAATGGTCCAAGAGGATTGTTCACCACCATTTGCCACCGCCGACGTTGAACGACGTAAGTACCCCCTTTCTTAACTATCATTGTGCTTCTCAGACCACTGACTTGTTTGATGGTGCAGGTACTGGTCCTAAGCGCTCGCGCAAAGCTGCAAACAAATCGGTGGCCTTGCAAACGGACGACAGCTCTGCAGCAGCTAAACAAAAGGCTACAGCTGATAAGCGCAAAGCCGCAGCTGCAAAGGGGCGCCAGGCTGCAGCGGAGAGCCGCGAGCAGCTTAAGAAGTTGAGGGAGGAGTAATTTTTCTTTTTGAAAATCAAACAAATCAAATGAAAAGCCTGTGTGCTTATTGTTCTGTCTGTGTTATGGATGTGTTTACTTCATCTTCCTTCCTGTGTGTTGACTACAAGATGTTTCTTGTGCGGTTATCTGGCGTTTTCATTTCTCATGTCTGTGTAGGATTTTCGGTGCAAAAATCCATTTAGGCGTGCCTAAATTGGAATTTTGCACGCGGCTTGCTTACACAGACTTTTCCTGTGTAAAGCTTGGAAGTGCAAATATGTGATTTCGTTGGTCTATATTGAATTTTACGCAGACTTTTTTTACACCAAATCATTTGGTGTAAAAGTTCCAATGCAAAATTCAATCTCGCGACCGGCGACAAGATTTTTACACAGCTTTTTTTACACAGAATTTAATAACACCGACAAAAAAAAATCAAAAAAAGTGTAAAAATTAAAGAACCCCCCCTTTCTTTGAATTTTACACCGACCCATGTTTACACATGTAGATTCGGTGTAAATGGGTCGGTGTAAAATTCCCCCTCCCCTTAACATAAGCCCCTCTTCCGACGCGGCCACGTCCGCTCTCGAAGAGGGGCTTAGGGTATAGACCCCGAGCTTGGCCTGAGACCAGCAGGAATTTCAAGCACTTTTGCTTGAAATCCATTTATGAGGGCTCTAAACATCGTAAAAGCATGTAAAAAATTCAGGAGTGCTTCTTTGATGTGTTCTGCTTCACTTCATACACTACGGGTCAACAGTTGACAGGTCGCGATATTGCTTTGTTATCCTCCCCAACGACATTGTGCCGGTGACTGCAAGATATCCTCGCCATGTCTTTTGGGTCCTGGCCTATCCCGGCTGTCAACAATTTGAGTCCGTTTGACACCCATCAAGGAAACCTGGTACATGTCCCACAGCGTGCTCAGGCCTTTGTTGTAGAGCTATGGGGTTACACGACTGCACCACAGAGTGTCACGTGTGTGTTATGTTGTACAGCTTCTCTTGTAGTGGAGTCTCTCCTCCTCGGCGGAAGCCTTCCACATGACTTACCATTGTGGAGGCCAATTCCTTGGAGAGAGCACTGACATGATTACCGTACTATTTGTTATAGGTTATGAGCAGCGCTTAGTACGTTTTTCTCAATCATCTCGCAAAGCTTGTAGAGTAAGTCTGAACTGCCATTCAGCTTCCGGTCATATGTCATTAGCTTGTACTCCACCGAAGAAATCGAATTCCACAAGGGAAACCAGATTGCAATCTCGATCACGCTTACCATTGTCTCGTCCTCCGTCGCGCGCAGGCTCCGCCTCAGGCAAAGAGCAAACTTTGAACTATTTGAATGGATCCAATCCAATTCAAACAGTTCTCCCAGCATTCACAGGACCTAAACCAACAATATTGCGCTGATGTCCTTGATTTCATTGCGGCGATATCGTATGTGAGGATAATAAACCAAGATTGGCCCGATATCGTGGCGATATTGCGAGACACAATATTGCCGCGATGTCTTGATTGGGCCGTAGTGTACTGTTTTCAGCATGTCACCACTTGCAGATTGTGGAGAAATTGGATTCCAGTATCCAGAGAGTTCAAAGGGTTCAGCGCGCGTGCAGGCCCGGAAATTGATTTGGGAGTTTTGGCCAAATATTTTGTTTTGGACCAAAGTCCAATTGTAGCTTACGTGCGGCTATCTGCGGGAAGCACTTCCAATTGTTGCACCCCCGCTCATGCACAACATGGTTGAACACCACCACCTAATTAGCTGTTGACATGCATCTTCAAAGTTCAGCAAGAGAAGCAGCGACCACGAAATCACCTGAAGACATCTCTAATGAATCAAGTAGTTCTCCGCAAGCAATTGAATTTGAGACAGGTCGACCTCTGATCGAAGAAAACCACCAAAAAGGCTCACCTGAAGCCCAATTCAAGAATCTTCAGGCCATGTTCCATACCAAATACGGTTTTGAGTCTTGAGAAAAACAGATACGATCCATCCAAAGCCTGATGAACAACAAGACAACATTCCTTCTTGCCGGAACCGGATTCAGGAAGTCTTGCGTAGCCAAGATGTTTCTTATGCTTTTTCCTGTGGACTTGGGAGCCTTCGTCCTAGTCTTGAATCCCACAGACACGTGGGGTGACAATCAGGTACGTTTTTGTGCTTGATTGAGCGTCATCAAGGTTGGTTTGACTGACAATCCTTTGTGATTTTGCTTAGGTGAAGGAAAAGATGAATGCAGGCTTTTCAGCCGTGAATCTGAACTGTAATAATTTTACGGACGAGGTAATACGCAACCTTGAGCGCGGTGCCTACCGTTTTGGGTATGTGGTGAGTTATGGCTGCTGCTGTACGTTGACTTTCTGCAGCCAACCTTTTGCTACATTTCTAGTCACCCAAAATCTTTTTAAACAACCCTTGATTTACAAGCATCCATTTCTCAAAGAATTTTCAAGAAAAATTGGTCCTAAAGGTGGTTGACAAGGCCCATCTCAATTACTACTGGGGTCTTGCAAAAAGCAATAAACACAAGATAGGGATTTCTATAACTGGGCCTCAAGACAGATCGTCTTTCCGACCTTTGTATGGCGATCTCATTAAAAGGTTTTTGGCTACCAAGCGAGTACCGATTCTATTGATGTCAGCTACCTGCCCACCAAAGGCGATGAATGTGATTTTTGAAAATCTCCAATTACGCCAGAGTGATGTCAACATTCACAAAGCCGAGCTAACGTGCCCGGAAATTCGCTGGATTCATCTGAGAGTCCCTACAGGAATCTCCTTAGTTGGATAACCTCCCATTTTTTTTGGTCCCAAAGCAAACATACCCATCAACTCTATCCCACCGACTCTAGTTTATTGCCACACCCAGGATGACACCCTCGCCACAATGCAAGCTATAAACCTTGGCCGCGAAAATCCTACGGACTTGAGCTGTGGATTCAGTACCTGCGTGCGAAGATATCACACTACCACTGCAGCCAACAATAAGTTACAGCGGGTAAAAGACTTTTCCAAAGGCAAATTCCCTATCATGACTTGTACCACCGCCCTTGGAATGGGTCAAAACTGAACTAGTACGACGGGTCCTTGTTTTGGGACGCACCAGCCCATCCAATACAATTCAAATGGTAGGCCGCGCTGGGCGTGATGGCCAAATGGGTGTTGGGTTTTTATTAGTAGAGGCTAAACGACCCGGTGGTAAAGACTTGGTGGCAGATTTCACCAATCCCACTGATCAATCTGACAACAATCGCATGGATGCTTTGGCAATTACTCCTGTCTGCTTGCAAGTCGCATTTGCCATTGATATGAAGTAAGTGGAATCACCTCATTTCCTGAATCCTGTGTGCTGACCATTTTTCCTTCAGAAAAGGATACATACTGATTTATTTAGACGACCAGGTCTATGTTGATGAGCTACTGCGACAGCAGCTTGCTGGAATTCCTAAATGCTGTTGCTCAAATTGCAACTTGAATTCAGCACTCGGTTTTTCTCATGCACAGCTTGAGATCTCAACATCAACATTTGATTCTTGGATTGAAAAAGATTATACTCTGCCAAACGATACGTTGAATCTTTTCAACCAAACTATATTGGCTCTATCTGATGAGCCACTCAAGACTCTGGAAGTCTCTGAAGGAGACCCGATTTGTCAAGAAATCCGATACATCAGGCTGTATCTCTGGCTTAGAAAGGCTTTCAACAATATTTTTGAATCTTATTATCCCAATTGTGAATTGTCTTATTTCACACCGGAAGTGCTTTTCTCAAGTGAACTCGCTTGGAAGATATGTAAGAATCTGGTTGGTCTTACCAATGGCCTACCATTGGATGCAATCTATGGAGGTGAACCACTTCCCAACACATATCTCAGGCTCACCGAAGTAATGAACACTTGGCGCAAGAGCAGAAACGTTTGGGCCGTTTTGGATCCCACTGAAGAAGAGTTGGAGTATCATAAAAAGGCATCTCAAGATCACATTGATTTTACTAGTCAAAAAGGCAACTCTTGCAGGCGTGTATTAACATCATCCTAGTTTTTTATTACAACTATCCTGAAACAATGGTGTCTTCACCTTTTTCGTGTGCTTTATGTCCCCAGCAGTATCAAGATGTTTTTTGAAGAACATCAACCTCAAGATTATGTGCCAACTTGTGTCTTCCAACTTCCAAAACATCAAGGAGCATCTTGTCGCCCTGCATATGCTGGGAATCCATTTCACCCAAGTAGTCTTGAGCTGTCCGCTGGAATTGCGCCATGGTTGCTTCATTGATCTTGTGATCATGTTTCTGATGTATTGGTTGTAGTCCTGATTGAATTTTCAGTTGTTGAATTAGCTTGCGCAGCTGAAAGGTTTTAGGTTGAATTAGCAATTTCAATATCTGGTCCTTCCCCTTGAAAAAAATTGAAAGATATTAATAATCATGAATCAAAAATATTTGACATCCAATCAGTTTGTGTAAACAGACTTACCGCACAATTGTAAAAGAACTTCAACCAGTAATTCATAGTTTCTAAGAAGAAGTCTGTAGCTACAAAATGACCCAGGCCGTCCCTGGTTAGAATAAGCATGCAGTGCTTGATTAAAGTTGCTAAAGGTTTTGGCAGATCCTGCTCCACTAAGTTGATGAATCGAGTGATATGTCGAGCACAGTGAGGGAGGCCTTTCAGACCACGAGCCATGAGAGACCATAATCTCCACATGGAAATACATTGTCCAATATCACCACATTAGGGCGGTTCAAGAAGAGAACTGCGAACCCACGTGACGCAAAGTCCCGATCCACAATTTTAAGGACGCCCAGTCCTTAAAATCCCGGTTCGCACAATCACAAACACCGTAAATTAAAGTTTTAAGTCTCTCCAAATTCAGGTCCAACGCATCTCACCTGTCGTCTTTTGCTTTTTTTTTTGCTTAGTTCCTGTTTTTTTTGGATCATCTTGTCCTAGCCAGACAAGAAATAGGGGGTCTTCTCTGTGTGTTATGTGTTAGATTTTCTTGGTGGCGTCCTTCTATCATCTTCTTTTGTCAGTTTCTCAAAATCGAAAGCCCCACTTTTGCACGTCACATTTGATTCAAGACAAACCTATATCAAAGCACTCATCCTCCTATATCTATCAACTATTCACCGTGAACGATTTAATACCTCATAACATGCCTCGGGTGTCCGATCGAGTGCTGGTAATCCGCGATCTCACCAACCTGTGTGTCGTGGCACACATCGAGGGCAACATACGAATTCCTGGTGACGCCCCCGATGTCAGCAACCCAACTGATGGTGAGCTTGTCTTCAACTCAGATCCTGACATGGCCAACTTGTACGATCTCATCTTTGATGAAGAAGATCTTTGGGGTGAGCTACTTGCCCACGTAATCTCAAGAAGGTACCTTCACGATCGCACACGGGACCCATTCCCAAAATCATTCAACTTGCGAGACATGCTACGAGCTTGTCGAACAGACTTTTGCCAGGCCATGCGGACTACCCCTGAGGGGTTCTATGCCCTGCTTCAAATGATTGAATCACATTCAATCTTTGTCTAGTCAGGGAACCATTCTCAGCCACCAGTTGACAAACAATTAGCGATAACGTTGGAGTGTCTTGGAAGCAATGGAAACACGGCATCGGTTGGCAGGTTTTCCAGAAACTACAAGGTTGGCCGTGGTACTGTGATCAACTGCTCTCAACGTGTGATATCAGCTATATTGGATGTAGGAGCCCACTACCTTACATGGCCCAATCCCGATAGGCGCAAGGCTATCTCAAAGGTCCTTTTGCGGGACGGATTCCCAGGTTGTGTTGGATTTGTCAACGGAACAACCATCCCCCTTTTCCAACGACCCAGTCGAGATGGGGATGTATTCTTTGACCGGAAGCATCGTTATTCAATCAACGTCCAGGTTTTTTGTGACTGCGACCGGAGGATCATCTACGCTTACGCTGGTTGGCCGGGGTCGTGCTGCGATAGCACGGTGTATTCAAAAACGGACATAGCCAATCACCCTTTGAGATTCTTTGACCAAGGTTTGCACTTGATCTACGAATCTCTCATTCCATTACAATTTTTTAACTTTATATTTATTTCATAGAAAGGTCACTAAGTTCTTTCCCTTGCCTAGCTGGGGCTAGGTGAGGGAAAGTCGTTTGCAGGAGTTAAGCCTCCGCTATCAAGGATAGTTCCTTTACTTGGAGCTCTCCCGTCAGCGGGACTTGGTATGGGGGAGGCTCTCAAAAGGTGACTCTCTCGTGGAGACTTCTATGTAGGTTGGACCTCCACTCCGGGAGGGGAGGTCTACTCTGGTAGTTTGTTGGCTGGAGAGTAGGGAAAGTCTGTCTCCCCGTTTCTCTGGTCTGGTGTCAGGCCTGAGCCTAGCGGGCTTTCCCCTCTCCTGGTGCCAGACATGTTCTCTGCAGCGGTGTGACCAAGAATATTAGGAGTGAACCTGTTTGGTATCTGTGCGACACAACTGAATTTGCGCACGAGCAAAGCTACTTAGAACAGTGGATTCCACTCCTTAAGGCGGTGTCAAGAAAAAGGACGTAGTAAGAGGAGCAAATTCGTGTAGGAAAGATAAGATAAAGACCAAAATTGAAAGAAAGAGGCAAGCGCACATCAAACGGGCGCAGATGAAAAAAGGTTAAAAAGAAAGACTGCCGGGTAGTGTGATAATATTACTAGGTCGTTCTGCAAGTCTGGATTGTATTCTCCTTTATCCAGGAAGCCGGGGGGTTGCTGAGCAGAGGATTTTGTACCCATGTGTTGGTGGACAGGTCATGAGACACTTTGAAGCATGGTAAATTGTCTTCCGATATGTCTAAGGCCCGACGTGCCGACTTCCAATCTTGTTTGTTCCAATTTTGCTGGTACAGCTCATGGCAGTAATGCACCAACCCGGCCTGGAAAAACCGGGTTGGCCCCGGGACCGGGACCGGGTCAAGCGGCTCTCGGCGCGGCTTTAAGGAAGATTGGGCTGACCCGGTCCGGCCCGTTGATAGGAAAACAGGCAAGTTTTGGTGAAATGATCTGCAATTTCCACAGAAAATGATATCATTTCTTCATTTAGTCAAATTATTGTTCACTATTGGTGCCATACTAGGCTTTTACAAGGGTATCTGAAGCCCAATTCAGGATTTGAGCCTGCCCGGCGTCAATTTTGTGAGTTATTTGTTCCTTTCAAAGCGCACATTGAGTTTGAGCTACCGGACCGGGTCGACCCGGTTTGAAGCTGGCTTGGTCCCGGGCGAGCTGAGATTCTCCGGGTCAGGGCCGGGTCAATGCATTACATGGCAGGAAGACTTCCATCTACCCAAGCTTTTAATGGACTCTGTCGGCACCCCCGCCTTTGTCAGGAGTGTTGCTCCGCCAATTCGAAACAAGTGACCGGTCATCTTGGATTTTGGTCCCCATGCCTTTGTCATTGCGTCGAGCATTTGTTTACAAGTGATTCCAGCTACCCCGCCTGGTCCTCTTTCGAGGAACAATTGTTGGGCACTTTCCCAGAGAAATGAGTCCGTTAGACGTTGTAGGGCCGCGACTGGGCACAGGACCCCTCGAGTCTCTCGGAGTACTAGTTGTTGTAACTCCCCAGGGTTGGCGGTCTTTGCCTCTCGCAGGACAATCACTGCTATCTTGACCCCTTTTGATATGTGAAAGGAGATGTTGCATCTGAGAATCGCTGTGAGGTCCTTTCTGTCGTAAGAGGCGTCTTTGCATACCAACTCGCCTAAACGCGCTAGTCCCCAGTACGCTGTGAGAGCCAGCGCCGATAAACCCTCTGGATCAGCCTCGTTCTCTGCTATACTACCCATCAAGATCACCAGTGCTTTCGGAGTTACTGGTTCTCTGTCTAGCTTGTTGAAGGGGGTTCTAGCTTCGAGTCTTTCTGATGCGCGGAGAATGGCCTTCAGTCTAGTGAGTTGGATGTCGGGGAAATAGAACCCGTGGAAAGCGTGCCACGTTTGCAGAGCTGTGAGGTATCTCCGAATGGTTGTTACCCGAATCAGTTTGTTGGTGTTCTTTTTCTCCCAGTTCTCCCCTGCCCAGACTATGAAGCGTTAGACTACTGTATCTGATGCTGGGAAAGTTATCAGATTCCTTTCTTTCGTGAAGATCTTGAACTTCTTGATTCCTGATGCATATGACTCGAGTGTTGACCGGTTCCACGCGGCTCTCAACATGTGGCGTTGTGCTGTGTTCAGCCTTAACGGGACGTTGTCATCTATCCGAATAAAGGATGAGATGTCTTTCATTTCGGGTTGATCAGCTGTGCAACATGTTCACCATCATCTTGTCAGTCTTTGCTTTCTCTCTTTTTGTTAGATGATTTCGTTACTGACTTCTCTTGGTGCTACGACTGCTCCTAGCTATATCTGGTATGGTTCACGGAAGGAGAGTTGTCTGCTAAGGTAATGTTTTTGGTCCTCAACGTGAAGGTTCTAATTTTTAAGGACCTGTACAATATAAGCAAAAAAGGGTTGAAACGATAACTTGAAGGGATAATCTATTTGAAAGGGGTAGATGATATGAAGGAACAAGATGGACAGTGTGGAACCTGGCGTTGGAAAACTTGAGCGGGCGATGGGGGTATCATTTGTGCTTGAGCTTCCACTTGTGCGTGAGAATCTCTTTTTGGTCTATCTTCTCGAGCTTCCCATTTCAGTAAGATACCTGTCCGAGAGAAGCGTTAATTGTGAACTTGTTACGTCTGCAGCTTCCTTTTTCGTTTGTTTTTACTCACCTCTGTGTCCGCTTCCTCTTGATCAATTGTCACGTCTTCTATCCAAGGTTTCAAATATTTTGTGACCTCTACATGTACTTGTCGGAACCAGTCTTTAGATGAAGGCAAACCTCTCGATAATTTGTCAGCCGCGTTATCGAATGATGTGACTCTCTTTTGCTCCAATTGACAGTCATTTTGGAAGAGGAGTTTGGATATGTTTTTCCACTCCTCATTTACCCAGTATTTGCCTGACCGTTCATTTATTAGGACTCCTTCAGTCGTTGTATTATCTGTCAATACTAGCAATCTTTCACCTTGTACTGATTGTAATTTTTGAACTATGAGTAAGCCCATGCAAACCGCAACAGTTTCTAACCATGCTATACCTCTTCTAGGTCGGCTTGGTGGTGTATCCCAACCAGGTCTCAGTCTAAACTGTCCCCAATTCTTTCCAATTATGATCCCAATTCCAAAGGTGGTCAATGCATCTCCTACCCATCCAACGTTTTTAATTTCTCTTGTCTTGAGTAGGTGTCTTCTTAGAACTTTCAGCAATGAGTCTCTCCATACGTTCATGTCTTCCCGTACTGCTTTCAACATTTTCCTCTCTGCTGATGTGTTCACCCATTCAGCTAACCATCTGAAGTTCTTTGACAGATAACACCTCAGATTCGGTGCTATATAGGCCACATGATTGAGTCTTCCATTCATTTTTTGTATGTCTTTGTGAGTATAATCCACTTTCTTTAAAAAGGTTTCTAGTTGAATTTTCCGTTGTTCAAGTTTCCCTGGAGGTAATTCTACTGTTTGATTCGTTGTGTTCCATAAGAAACCAATATACTTTTGTTGATTGCTGAAGTGAGAAAATTTTGTCTCGTTTGTCTTCACTCCTAATTCTGAACTGTACTTTACTACTTCATCCATATGTACCTTTGAGTTTGCTTTTTTCATAAGTAAGTTGTCGTCTACCCATCTGAAAGCCTCTTCTAATTCAAATTCTGCTTTAATCAAATCCTTCCATGCATCAGCTGGTCCTCCAAAGCTTCCACATCCTGCTACTCCTCCAAATGATATGAATAAGTCTATAAAAATATTTCCTTTGAAATCCATGATTAGAAGGTATGGCCATTGGTCTGTTTTTGTCAGAATTTGCCTATAAGCTTTTAGCCAATCGAATAGAGCTATTAATAATGGATGTTCCAAATTCGCTATGAATGCGTATACTCTCGAGAAGTTATCCCAGGTTGTTTTGAAATCGTCTTTATTTACGAAGGAATTCACGCTTGGTATTTCTTGATTATTCTTTGGAAATGAGAGGTCGTTTATCGGTCTAAATGATCCATCTCTGTTTATGACGGCGCCCATCGGGCTTGATCTGAAAAATGGGAAGTGTCTTGCTACCTCCTCTTTTGTAAACGGTCCTATCATTCTTCCTTCTTTCACTTCTTCTTGTATACTTTTCTCTATCTTTTCCTTTGCTAATTCGGCGGATTTGTGGTTCGGCGGACAATAGTAATTCATCCCTTCTATCGTATGCTTCAGTATTCCTTGGTCAAACCCATTCTTGAAGCCTTCTATAACAAATTCGTAAAAAGGAAGTAATGAGTGCTTTTTTAACTCTTTCTCCCATTTTTCAATCTTCATATTACATTTGGCTACTTTTGGCCAGTAATCTTTTTCATTTCTTCTGTTTCCTCTTTCTATTTCTATGACTTCTTTCTCAATTCCATTGCTACTTCTTCCTGTTCATCGTTCTCTCTTTCTGATTTCAGTGTTTCGTTTCTGGGAGGATAACCAAAACAGCATAAGAATTTATTTCAATTGTTCATTCATACATGACATTAACGAGAGTTTTGAAAAATTTATAAAGAAACTTAATACATGGAAAATCTTGAATTAATTAGAGGATGTTCGGAATTAATGAAGAGTGAAATTCTCTGAAACAATGAATAGCGAAATTGCAAATTGGATAGCTTCATAACTTAAAAGTCTATTCTTCTGGTATACATTTGAAATGAGTGTCATTGATTGAGGACATTGCTACAATGAATTGTAATGGAAATTGGTAATATAATGTGATTCTTCTGACTTACGCCTCGCTCTGCGTCTGCTTCCCCGTACCTCTTCCTATTCCTCCTCTCACACCTCTCCATGTGCCTCTACCCCCTCTTACTTGGCCATTGTTGTTTGTAAAGGGTGTTGATTGATTGTTGTTTGGGAAGTTCGGTGCGTTCACGTTGCTTGTGCTTGCATTACCATTTATCTGTCCTTGACTGGGAAAACCTAAGTGTATCGGTGGAAATGGGTTCTGTTGTTGGAAAGGTATGTTGTGGCTCAGGCTGCTTCCTTGTTGCTATGCACGGAAATTTGGTCTTGCACCGTATGTAAACGTTTTATTTGAACGTGGTCCTCTCCTTCGTCTTTGGAACTTGCCACTCCCTCTTTGTCCTGATGCCGAGTTGTGGCCTTCTGTTGTAGAATTTTGATTCCTGCGCATCCCGACCATTATGTCATTAGTTCTAGGATTATCTCTTGGTCTTCTTTCCTTTCTTTACTTACAAAGGTTGACCTGTCTCAGGGTGTTTCCATTCGAACTTCCCTCCCTTCGCATACGGGTTTACTTCGCCTCCGTTAGCCTCACCAAATGTCAGCGACTTGTCTTTTGCCTTATCTTTGTACTTTTTCATGAAAGTACCGATATCTTTGATTGGTTCTTTTTCTAACCTTTCTACGAAGATGTGTCTTCTACATAGGATATCATATTGTAAGGCTGTCATCCAACATTCAGTCGATCTCCTAAGTGTATCACAAGTTCTATGTCAGTCATTCCTTCTTATTTTGCTATGTTTCTCAATTAGCCTCACTCACTTCACCTGTTTTACGTTCTTGATATGATAGTTCAATCTTTTTACCACCTTCTTTTGATTGTGTTGAACTAAATAACGTTTGAATAAGCTAATGTTTTCCGTCCATTCTCCATATGTCATCTTGAATTCAGAAGGAGCTTCAAGGCCTTCGTTTTTTGATGTCTTTGACGAAGATGAGTGATGTTGTTTCTCATACTCTTCTTTATCTGATAGGGCAAAGCCTTGGTCAAATACGGTAAGGGGAATGGATGATTCTAACTTCTTCATTTGCTTCCTCCAGAAAGGTTGGAGCTGGATTAGGTCAGACTTTTGGATCACCCCTATATCTACTTGAATACCGCTCTTCTTGCTACGCTTCTTCTTTCCAAAATCTTTCTTTGATCGGTGTTTTGACTTTGATGCTGCGTCTGATGGCTTAACCTTTGCTATCTTGCCTAAACGTCTTATTTCATTCTTTGCTTCTTCTAGCTTCTTCCTTAACTTCGAAGCTCTCTTTCTCTTCTTGTCTAAGCCGTTTTACAGAATCAAAAGAGGTTTTTAAAAACGTCAATACTCATTCTTTCTGACGATAAGGTTATTGTGGCTTGATAATTATACTCTCTTCCCGTCTTTCTACTGGGGCGCTCTACTGTATCGGGAGCTATTTGGGAGACTCAGTCATCACCGATTAACCTTCCACACATATGACTTATGTGGAGGTTGTATCTTCCGGGAGGGGATATGGAATATGGGGTAGGGAAGATTTTGGGGTGTGAAACCGGAGTTTTTGTTGGGGTAACAGTTGGTGTAGTATAAAAAGGTTCTTCTCACCTTTCTGCAGTTCTCTTTCCACGTCTTCTGACTCGCTGTTAGATGATGACTCTTTGTCGCTCTCATTGCTATCCGATCCAGTGCTAGGGCTCGAGTCACTAGATCCGTTGCCTTCGTTCGAAGATCCCAAGGAGGGTGACTATTCGTTTCTAACTTCTTTCTCCTGTACTGAATAATCGTCTGAGTTGTTTGATTCTGACTTGTCGTCTTTGTCTATGAAGTCGTTCGCTAGATCGTCTATGTCTGAGGAGGATTGAATTGCCGGCTCCTTCCCTTTTGAAAATCAAATGGTTGCAGTGAAGTTCGGGTTCATAGAAGGTGCTACCGCTGCTGGGAATGGGATTGGTATATTACCAATGAAATTGGACCGTTGTTGTGTCTGAGGGGGGATTAAATCTTTGGTTCGCTCTCTGAAGTCGTTCACATTACTGGTTTCTTCTCGGTCTTGATGAACCTCTTCGATTTGTCCTTTGTTGGTTAAGGTTGTGTTGGACTCAAAGTTTGACAGCCCCACCTCGTTGCCCGCGTTGACAAGGTCTGCTTCGTCTTGGCTCATGTCTAAACCTTGAACTCGTCGGCTCGCTCAAATGGCCTTTGACATGGCTGTTGTGTTCTTCGTCATCTCCAGCTTATCTTCGCTTAACCGGTCGAACTTGTTTGAATAGAAATTTCTTTGTAGACTATTTCTTTGTAGAATATAGATGTGTTAATGAATTTAAATAATGAAAAATGTAAGAAATGATAGCTAGTTATTCAAAAAATGTGGTTTGTTAGTTAAACTTATACAAGTTCTGACAGACTGGTAGTTAAAAGGTTGTAACTCGTGGATAGAGTCAAAGTGGATTTGGGAGATTGGACGAGGAAAATTCAGAAAAGATGAGAAATGATTTGGAACGGGTGAAAGGAAAGAATCGTAGCCTGAGCTCCTGATCCCAGGTGAAGACCTTGGTTACTCATCTGTCTGCGCTATTCCTCGGATTCCCTTGGGTTCTGAATAGGGTTGTATTTTCATTAGTCCGTATCTCCTTTGGTATCATTATCTAGTAACGTTACTCTATCCATGGACATGTCTAGCTCATCATGCCTTGAGCAAGAGGCAAGTACACAATCACAATTTCTAATACTTTTGATTGTGTCACAGGGGAATACATACTGGCGGACTCAGCTTACATACCATCTGATACTGTCGTTCCATCCTACAAAGGTCAAGCAGCGGAAGTGGAAAGAAACAAAGAATTTAATTGGTGCATTGCAAAAGCGCGAGTCAGAAACAAACATTGTATTGGCATCAACACCGGGTAAGCAGCGCAACACCGCGCTGCCACCGGAAGTTACGTTGAGTTGCTGTGACCCATCATATGTTGCGGTGTAGCTTTTGGAAGCGCTGCGGTTTCAAAAAAGGACAAATACGGGCAAAGCCGCAGCGCTGCTCTGAGCAGCAGCGCAACATACAAAATAAGCAACGCACCACAGCAACACCAACACGTAACGCAACATTGTGCATCAGCAACGCTGAACTACCGCTGAAACGCAACACAGCCTAAAATTCAATTATAAACAAAAGAAACAACATGTATGTAATATATGATAGAGGGATAGCATCGCATAACATAACAAAAGGGAAAATCTGGCATAGAGTAGTATAAAATTTTAGCATAGTATTTTTTTTCGAGTAATTCAAGTATAAAGATTGTAAACTAAATAACATCAATTCATTACTATCCCCAAGGTTTTCAAAACCTGTGCGAGCTCCTCATAAGTCTCACCCAAATCAACACCTTCCCTCAACCATAACCTGCTGGAGACAAGTCGTTTGATTGTCCGAGCAATTAATGAACCTCGACTGCTCGAACAAACATCTGATGCACATGAAAAGATGCGTTCAGGGGCGCACGAGGAGCCAGTTGATGCGAGAAAGTCGGTGGCCATGAGGGCCAGGATTTGGTAAGACTTAGCATGCTTCTAAGTATGGTCGCGCAAAGTGTCAAAGTGAGAGTATCAGCAAAGATCTACAAGGAAGATACCCAAATGATAGACTTCTCACCTTCCACCATTCAAGACATGCGCTAGGGTCTTGTATGTCATACTTGTCAGGCTTCATCTTGTCAACTCGGTTTAAATAGTTCTTGATTTGTATATCTTCAGGTTCTTCGATTTCAGCTTCGTCGTCAGAATCATCGCAGAAGATGACTGCTCTAGGTGAAGATGTTGCAGGAGTTTTGCTGTGGTTGGTACGCGGAATGGAGTTGGTTCTATCGTCTGCAGGGTTAGCCAGTTCGTACTCCCGGTGAAGACGTCTGAAAGTGGCTTCAGCGTTGATTGCAATCACAGAAGTTTCTCCAAACCACTTGGAAAAGAAACGTAGTCGGAAGAAAGGGTGGAGTGCCGTCGCCATAACAAGAGTTTCGCATTGGAGGGCTTCGTCCATGTATTCAACAGTCTTCTCCTTCATCTTTGCAAGCATGGGGTAGATTGCATTGGTGGTGCTAAGAGGTTCGATTTTTGATTCGAGGGAGTTACGGAGTTCTACATATTGTGGAATCACCATACACCCTGTTGGACCGTCTCCCTCCATAAGCAGAGTTGTCTTGAGGAAAGGCTAACAGATTTATTACAAGTCAAAGTCAGCACAAAATATATCAATAAGAAAGATAGATCAAAACGGAACAGCAAATACCTCAAGCTGATCGTTGATCTTGCGTACTTGTGCCCATTCGGCAGTAGTCATCTCAAGCTCGTGGAAATATCCGTATGGTTTTTTATTTTTGCGTGCAGGACGATTCTTGGAATGTACAACATTCAAATCGTTTTGACAGAGTTTGTCAATGACCTGTGATAGTATTGGTATTGACCAAATAATCCAAGGTTGTCAGGATGTTGTGCACACATCAAAGTAAGAGAAAAACTGCCTTACCGCTCGGGCTAACCAAGCTTTATGCCGACTGGTATACTTGATGTTCCAGCGGATCCCGTACCCAGCAATCAAAGATCCTTTGAAACCCTTTTGCTCGGCAACACATTTGAACTCGTTTCGCCAGGCCGCAGAACGGGTAATGCGGCGTGTGATGAAGTCAACCTGGTCAAAAGATGTAGCCATTCATCATATTCAAATCAAAACCCAAGTTGTGTTTCCCACAAAGTCATTTACTCACCTTGCGCAGGATATAGTCGACGTTATTTGCTTCTCGACGATGGGTGGGTTGCACTTCTTTACTCACTGTGGAGAGCTCGGGATATTCTTCCTCTTCTTCAGCATCTGCAGAATTCCACTCACCCTCGTTGTCCAGTTTGGGAACTACAGCCACAGGAGCCGGCAAGTCAAGATCAAGATCTTGAGGATCATGCTCGGGATCGTCGACTTTGTTGACATTTGATTGCTCGTTGCTAGCAGAAAGAATCATGTTAGTAACGAGCATTGTATTTAATCAAATGAAAATGCAGACTTACTTCATCTGTTCCTCATCCTCGTCTTCCTCTGCAATTGTTCCAATCGATGGAAACACTCCACGGTCACTTTGTTTCACCTTTGCCGGAGGAGGTGCTTTGACACCCAGCGCAGCCAAACCCGCGTTGACAATCAATGCCAACTTGTGGCAGAAACAAAAAATGTGCATAGTTTCAGGGTTCCACTTGTACAAATCGTTGTTTTTTTCAAGAAATTGATTGTGCATTTCTTTAGCCATGGTCTTATTGTTAGACCCCGAATCTGTAGTCTGGCAGAGCAAGTGAGACACACAAAAGAAAGCGTCAGCAAGAAACTTTTTGTATGATGATTGAAATCCAGAAAAAAAATCTCGATTAAAAATACTCATCTTTTGGAAAAGATCGCGTTTGATCAAAAGGTTGGCCATAGGTTCGGCAAGCCACGGGCCATGGTGATGCCAGGCAACCACCTTCATGGTGAGGTGGCGAACCCGATAGTTCCATTGGTTGTCCACAAAGGTAACCGATGCCCCGATGAACGCATGTTGATTACCTTTTGTGGTCCAGCCATCGTGTACCAAGTTGATCTTCGATTTCAGAGCCTGATTGGTTGATTGGTAATTGATTGATTAGTAATCAAATTTTATTCATATGTTTGAAGGTTTGGAAATAATCTCACCTTCAGCTCTAAAAACACCGAGTCTTTGAGAGCCACATTGATCTTCTTCGCCTCGTCAGCAGCCCACCTCCGACCGTTCAGATGTGCTTCCTTTCGGAGGTAGCGCACCATGCCACGAAGCAGGGGATCTTTGATCCGACTCCAAGGTTGAGCGTGGCGAATAAGCCAGGTACAGGCCATCTGATTGAGGATGGAGTTAGAATACGCCGCCACCGGTGTAGCGACAACATAGGAATCAAGAGGCCCTGAGCCAGACGCCTTGGCTGCCTTTCGAGTTTCAGCCACAGACAGAGGAACATCCAGATTGGGTTCTTCAGATTTCGCTTGAAGTCGTCCGCTGCATCCCAAGTCTGACCGGCCGTCTGCAGTTGATCCGTCTCGATGAACTCGCAGGTTGCCGGTCATGTTGGTATAACTTACTCGCACCGGGTTATCCTCGTTGCGGTGACAGAATCGACAAGGATAGCTCAATGGGGGCTTGTGTATATCCTAGAAACATGGATATGGTATTAGAATAATTTAACAAGTTAGATAGAGACGAATTCAATCCAAAAACAAACAACACTTACGTCGTGACCTTCGTGAAAAGGTGGACCAAAGTAATCCCTAAGCTTGGCGACATCGGTCTGGTTGTCGTTGACCTTGGCCTTCTTCTTAGCTTTGATTTTCGCATCCTCGTCTTCTGAATCGGCTCGCATAGTTGTTTTGGTGACATACTTTGACAGATGCTGCTATTTTTTTTCAAAGTGTAGTGTCAGTATTCATGAAATTGAAAGAACAAGTTCAACCACTTACTTTATCTGCTTTCGAGGCTCTGACTGTTGCTTGGCCTTTTCGTTTACCAGTGGATTGCTTCGTTTTCTTAACTTTGACAATTGGAGAGCTGTCTTCTGATTCACTATCTTCAACTTCAACCGCATTCTTTCGTTTCCAAGTCAAAACCACTGAGTCATTGTCAGAGGCATCGGTCAAAGTGTGAGTGGTCTTGCTTCTAGACGTGATTTGAACAGAATTGGTGCTGTCTATGGAGAGGCGTCGACGAGAATCTGGTGACGGCTGCACCATGCCTGGTTGGCTGGTTTGTGTGCGATTACGTATGGAGCGTTCGGAAGTCAACATGCTTGCAAAAGAAATGATAGCGGAGATAGCAATAGATTTGATAGCTGAGGTAGATAGTATTAGAGACGAGTGAGAAAATGATGAGAGAAGATAAAGAAAAGGATGAGCGAAGATAAGATGAAGAAAGATAAAAAAGTAGTGAATCGGGTGGGGCTTACAAGGACTCGAGTCTGAAGATGAGATATCGTTGATCTTGGACTTGACCCCCTTACCTTGGTCTCCAGATCGATG